TGCTCGCGAGCACGAGGTTTTTTTTTTTTATAGCATGTGGTTCAGGCGTTTTGTTTCGTTCTTCTCGTTGCCGTCGCCCTCGGCTACTTCCGAGGCGCAGCCGCATGAAAAACGACGTTGTTAGGCATCGCACTTGCGCTCGTGCTTTGGTTTAGATTTTTGGCCGCTGACAAACATACGTTAAGAAGTACGGTTGAGTTGCGTAGGTATCGGCTCTCTGGATTTCGTGCCGACCGGTTGTTCCCCCGCGATCTCCGACGACAGCGCAGCTCTGGCCGACTGCCTCGCCTTACGCCATCTCCTGCCGCCGACAAGAGCTCTCGCTGAGTGGTGCCCCGTACTCGGACTGTTGCGACCGTGTCCATCTTTCCTATCTTCTCCTTGCTTCTGGGTGTCGCTGTTTTTGCACCACGCTCTCTCCTTCCCCCTCTCCATCTTTATACCTTTAATCTTATCCTTTTAATCCCTCCCTGCTCCCATCCCTCGTGAGCTATTGTTGAGGCGTCGCACAGTGATGCAGACAATTACGGGGCTCACTTTTATCTTCTTTTCACTTTTAAGAATCGCGTGACAATCACATAAGGTATCAGCAGCTGCCTGGCGAAAGGAATGATACTGAGTGTGTCTCGTGGCTGTAGGAGACAGTACTTCAAAAATGTGTTTCTGTTTCGAGGAGCCTCATAAGTGGACACTGAAGACGATGTGACGTGCATTTATCCAATAAGGCCAAATAAGGGGTTGTGGAGGCTTTATATTCTGTATATGGCATCTATATAGCTTAATTGAATAGATGGCACTCTGCATTGCGAAGCATTTCCAGCTTTTTCAAGTCTGTGCATACAACCGCCACTATAAAAATGTTTTTTTCCTCAATGTGCAGGACACGGTGTTTGAGTAATCAACTGAATTTTGTACCAACCAAACAATAAAGCAAGATGACTTTTACTACGGTATAATTGTGAAGTTCATCACAAGTGAACGCAATAGTTCACTTGACATGGCGTCGTGCCGGCATGTCAAAGGTTGCCACTCCAAAGCTTCTTGTACTTCTTTCGTTACGTGCAAACAGGTTCGTCTTTTCTTTTTCCAGAACAATCCGTAACACATTCATATATTTCATATGTAGCTCATTCAGCTGCGATCAATCGCTGGTGTTTTTCTGATGTTGTGTTTGGCATCCTGTTTGTGCATTCCAAAACAAGGGGTAAAGATCGCCAAAAAGAATTTTGTTGTGCCCTACAACGCGCCCACCGTTTCCGGTGTCCTCTAAGATTCGCTACGTACCAGACGTTCTTTCGCCCACTCGCACTTGGTTTCGTTTCTCTTTGCTTCAGCCCTAACTGAGAGTTTTCTCGAAACGCGCTTCGAAGTAGGCGTCTGACTAGTATATAGGTTAACAAGAAAAGCAAATACGAAAAAGCCAGCGAAGGATTCCTTGTTCTCGATAAGGACAAAAGCGTTAGGGATTTCGAATGCTGAATGTGTCAAGGCTCCCCGCGGTCTGCCGAGCTTTGCGGCGCTAGAAAGAAGTTTGAAAGCGCTAGTTTTTCAAAGCGCTAGCGCGGTGGAACCTGGCGGGAAGCATAGCTCCACGCACAAAGAAATCCAGACAACCGTACCACATTTCGACGCCGTCTCTGTGCCGCTCTTACTCAAGAATGCATGAAGTATCTCTCCGAGAACAGTTTTCGTGAAAACGCCGACGTGAACTTCCAGCAAAAAAAAAAAAAAAAGGGAGCTTTGGGTTAAAACGCACACTAGGGTGAGTTGGTTCGCACCTGGGAAAGATATTGCAAATTGGTGCTGCGAAATCCCACGAGGTGGCAGAAGAGTCAAGAGCGGGAAAAAAGTAAGATCGAAGCCAGAAGAAAATCTATTTGGATTTCTCGGAATGCTTGCTGAGAAATTAATTTTGATCCGGGAGTCGAACTCGTGACCAACGTCTACAATCTGCTACAAACGGGTAATTCTCAATTTTAATTTCTTTGGAAAAAGAAAAAACGGCGCGAGAAACACGAAGGATGCAGAAGGACGAACGGATCGGTTGTATGACGCTACGTATTGAGGCTTCGCAGTGCTTGCCCGTTTTTGTCGGCTGCACCGTTTTGTCTGGCTGAGCTGTAATTGCGTTAAGCGAGTGGCGAAATTTGTCAGCTCAACATTTTTTTTTTCTTGCTTGGTAAACCGGTTCTTTCCCCCTTCGCTCCATCATAAGCTCCTTCCCATCACTGACGTTAACAAGACCCCCACATGAGCAGGCACTGCGCCGTGTCGCCTGTAGGCAGACAGAAATTAGGTGCCTTCTTCCTTTTCCTCATGCATGAACCACTAACATGAGCGAATGTGGCGCATGGCTGCGTGATGGTTTCGATCAACTTTGTCTTTCGGTGTCAGCACTTTTTTCTCTGCTCAGCTTACCGAATAAAAGGAAAGAAAAAGAAGAAATAGGCCATGTTCACAACATCTTCTTGGTCAGAATTTGCTGGATATTTGGTGCTTGTGGTTGTAGTAGGAGGAATAGTAAATGCCGTAGTAAGAGGTAATGGTGTTGCTAGTAGCAGTAGTCATCACGCAGGTCGCCGTAGTAAGAGGTAATGGTGTTGCTAGTAGCAGTAGTCATCACGCAGGTCGCGTGGCTAGAAAAGGGAAAGAATCAAGAAACAAAGTGAAATTATTGTGATGATTATAATGGCGACGATGCACATGATTTCGTTAGCCAATCACATACACTAGAGCTCTTGCAGTTGCACTGTTCACCGATTTTCCCGCGCGGAACAGGCTGTAATTTTTTTTTCTTCTTTTATTCATCCGCTGCGTGTTCGTGTTAAACCAATGTAAGCTTTTCCTTTTTTTGTTTTGTTTGCCAGTGTCCCATGTCAGCTCAAACATACACTGACTCGTCCATGGACGACGAATCTCTATGCCGCGGACTTTGTGCATTCTCTCTGGGCGGCATATATATGCAGGCGGAATTATTCAGGTGGTCCCTGCTTCTGAACATGCGTGGTGAAGTCATCGTGAAGCTTGCGCACATCTATGCCACTTCCTTTGACGCAGAAGCACGCTCACTCATCCAAAAGCAGATTCCTCGAGAGGCGCTTTGGGCTAAGTTCCATATGAGATAGGCTCTCCTTCCTTTATTTTTTTTTATTTTTCTGAACACTTCGTTCGCCCTGTCACTGACGCGCCAGTATGCTATCCTTGTTTTTTTGTTTTTTTTTGTAGGTTGAACTAAAGTGGACAATACAAGGGAACAACACAGCAGTGATCAAAAACAAAGACTAGAACGAATGTAATCAACAAATAGAATACTAGAAAAAAAAACCAGTGGAGAGAAATGCAGAAAAGAAAACGAACATATTTCAAGACGGGGAAGCATGCATAGGAACAGGAAGAAATAGTGTAAACGGAGGAAGTAGAAGAATAAAAGAAGAAAAGAAAAAAGAAAGAAATTCAGAACAACGACACTGGGTATGTGAAATGGAAGAACAGCGCAGAATCAAGACAGAATCAAGAAATAGAATACCTTATCCAGAAGATGAGGAAGGAACGAAAGAAAACAAAAAAAGAAGATAAAGGAAGGAAGTGAAAGATGTGCGCGCGTCATTCTCGACTCACCCGTCGAGCGCACGCACGCTCGGCTCCGCACTTCGCGAGTTGGGCCGGTGTTCGTTGCCTCCATGAATATTTTACGTCCCTTCGGACACGTCTCCGTCGGTAATGGTACGTACTGCGTCGTTGCGCACCGAGCACCGTCGATCGGGGAAGGGTGGTCGTATTCGCGCGCAGTTCATCCATAAAATGGGCGTGGTCAAGGCTGCGCCGCGGACACCGCCGCGAACAAATGCCGCACGCGGCGCTGTAGTACATCCTCGATGCGCAGGTCTCGATATGTGGGGCACGCAGTTATCAATTTGATAGGCCTGTGGGTTAGCGGGCCAGAGATGTCGCGGGCAGCTTCGAGGCTGTACGAGTGAGACCTATCTTTCTGCATCGATCCGTGCTGAAACAATGTGATCTAAGCGCATGTTTCGGCGTGTGTTATTTCGTTATAGAAATCGAAGATCACCTGCGTGGGTTCCCTCCCTCAAACGTGTACAGTAAAGAATGGGCTGTGATTTATCAACCTGTAATTGTATGAGTCTTCGGGCTGACTGCTTGGTAATTTCTAAATAGTTATAGATCCGAAAAAACGTGGACAGATGATGGTGCCGAATTTCGCATTGAAATCTGGTTATTTTCCAGCAGTTTTAGCTCAGCCGATCAATGAAAATGGTTTGGCTGGTGCCTACGACCTAATGAGCAGCGTTTTGCGATCACAGTTTCTTTGGGTCTGAGAATGCTATAAGATAAGTATGTGCCTAATCATTCTAAGAGTGCTTTCCGGTTCAAAGAATACGTGGCTAGGTTATAAACAATGGCGAAGTTATGGGCTTTGAAGGCGAGGATGGTACACATGCCTCACTGCAGCTCTTAAGAACAACAAACCTGCATGTTCAACTGACGTCCAACAACTGCGCTGTACAAAATTCTCTGATGGGCTAGTTGGTTCACAATTTTAACACTGGATAGCGTGAATTCGACGTGGTGAGTGTTAGAAGTTGATATAAATAAGGTCACAATTCTCGCCAATAAACTGTTGTTAGTTCGCGCTTCGTGTGTGTTTCGGTGTTCCTTCTGGTGTACAATTCTATTGTACAAATCAGATCCATAAACCACAGAACAAGTGCTTGTCCTGTGCATCAATGTTCTTGCTATCTAGTATCCAAGCTATTTACTAGTACTTAAGTAGTGATTGAGTGCACCTACTCAGTTTCTCTCTTTTTCAATCTTATCTATTTAGAGCATAACCCAACCTCTGTAGGGAATGGTAGCACACGAGAGCGTTGATATGGTTAAGCTCTGTATCTTCAACTCTTCCTTATCTTTCTCAGTTCTTGTTTATTGCGAAAAACTTACCGCGATGCTAAAGCCTAATGTCTTTTATTTCTACTTTGCAGCCCAGGAAGATGAAACGGAAGTGCCCCAAGACCGAAAAGTGGAGTTTTTAACGAAAGAGCAGACATTTTTCCTGAGCCTTGGTGACTCCGTTACTCTACCGTGCAAAATCGTCCAGTCGAGTGAGTAGCCAGCTCTGAAGGAAAGGGGAAAAAAAAGTAATTTCGCATTGAACAAGTGCAGCATCAATTTAGCGATGTTTTTTTTTTCTTTCGGTACAATAGATGCGTATTAAACGAGATTAAAAGGCTGAATTGAGTTTTTAGCATTATACACGTGATAGTACTGTAATCATCGGTATATCCATGTAAATTTAAACCTTATAAGCTTGACTTGTGAATCAGTCAGTCATTCAAATGTAGTGAACAGAATTTTTTTTATGTCAATAAATAGCGAAGTTTTTACTCATGTCGAATGATTAGGATGTTTCAGAAAAGGACCTTCCAATATCGTATCAAATACAGCGTGTTTTATGGTTAATCAAAATGAAAAAGTGTGCATTATGCCCTGATAGTTAAAGAGTATAGAGCTGCTGAGATTCCTTATTTACGTAATAATCTAAGTACCTGTAATGTTGTTCGCACATGATCGTCTTGTTGGCTGCTGATTAATAAATGATAAACAAATAATCTGAGTTATTTGATGGACGAGGAAACGGCGTGTCACTAGATGCACATAAGATATTGAGTTCGTTCTAGATAAGGCACATAATACTACAACACAGCACATCACTTTCAAAGGTAGAGAAACAAGTCGCAAACTTTCATTGCCCAAATCGAGACCTGCAGGTATGAATATGAGCTACTTACGAACTAAAGGTTATTCTGTTATTACTGAAGCCCCGCCGCGGTGGTCTGGTGGCTAAGGTACTCGGCTGCTGACCCGCAGGTCGCGGTATCGAATTCCGGCTGCGGTGGCTTATTTTCCGATGGAGGCGGAAATGCTGTAGGCCCGTGTGCTCAGATTTGGGCGCACGTTAAAACCCCAGGCGGTCGAAATTTCCGGAGCCCTCCATACGGTGTCTTTCACAATCATATGGTGGTTTTGGGACGTTAAACCCCACATATCAATCAATCAATCAATGAATCAATCAATCATTGTTATTACTGAAATTTATTGCGAAGCTATTCGCTTCCTATTTTCGCACGTGTTTGTGCTTTCATTGAGCGGTAACTCTGCTTCCCACGTAGCAGAATAATTCAGTGCAGATCAGCTTTTTATCGCTATCTTTCCTTTAATATTAAAAAAAAAAATCTAATTTACTCAGTTCTGGTGCGCAAGTAACTCAAGAATATTTAAAGAGTGCATTCATACACTGACGTATCAACGTGTTGAAGGACTCTGGCAAAAGGTGCGAGCACGGATGATCACAAGCTCGTGGTAATAAAATCCGTGATCTCCAATGGCCAAGCTATGAACAAAACGTTCGACACCTCATAGAAGCCATCGCTTCTCATATTCTCTCACAATGTTTAACTTTCTCGTCACCGCTTTCGACGCGCAGGTGAGGATGAGTTCATCAAGGTGTGGATAAAGAACAAGGACATCCTGTTCGCCGGGAGCTTTCGTGTGGACACGGACCCGAGGATCAGCCTTGGTCCCGAAGGCGAGCTCAAGATCGACGGCCTGGTAGCCTCGGACGACGCCGTCTACACCTGCAAGGTCAACAGTCAGATCGAGCCGAATTCTATCCAACACAAGATCGTCCTCCCAGGTATGACTTCTTACCTGCGGCAGCCTCGAGCTATAACGATTTCAATCCAGCTGCTATTCGTGCAAGTGTACCAGTCGTCCTCTTTTTCCCTTTTTTATCCTTCTGTATCGCGTTTCTTTTTTTTTTCTCTCTCTTCTCTCCTACCTATGAAGGGTAGCGAACTTGGTGCAACCTGGTTAACCTGCCAGTTTTTCCTATGTCGCTCTCATGCTTTTATGAATATGCCATGCGCGATATTCTTCTATTTATTGTGCAAATTATTGTCATCATCATGTGACCATATATAGCTCAGCTATTGAAAAGAACAACGCACTAACCTCCACGCTGGCGTTGTGCTTGAATTAGCGGATCGTTCCAACATGTTCACGAAAATTTGTTTGGATAAAAAAGAATGTTATGAGCCTTTGCGGCTGAAGTTTGTTTAGTATTCAGTATATTGTGAGCACGTCTTGCTTGCCATACATAAGAGTGACGGCATCGTCATATGCAGTTCAATAGACGTCCTCACGAAGACAGAAGTTTCTGCGACAAGAGACATGAAAAAATAAAAATAGAAATAATAATCATTGCTATTCTTAAGAACATAATATTTAACTAGAAGGTTTGGTTCACTGTAGTCTTCTGTGACCAGAAATGTGATTCATTAAAATCAAAGGGCAGATTACGCTTAATTGCGCATTCATGTTTTCCGTGTAGCCCGTGTCGTGGAAACTTCCGTCCTAGTGAAAATGTTGGCGTAATTTCTACCTTTGGCTGATGATTGCCAAGGTTAAGAAGTTCAGCCATGACTCCGGTAAAAAGACACTTGCAATGAAACGGAAGACACACCCTTAAACTGGCTGTGCTTTCGCGATCTTATCATTAGGTTGATAAATCCAGCTGTGATGGTATTCTGAAAACCACAAAAAATAAAAGTGGTCGCTAACGCATTGCGTCCATGCAGTAAATGTTGTATGCCCCTTCAACTTTTGCATAAGAATGCAGCACTCATTGTTACAGATGAAAAGTCACTCGTATACATTAAGGAAGGCCCCCTTCTTGCTTACACAGAAACTTTGAGCCTTGCATGCTAACCTCTGTAGTGCAGTTGCGGAAGCAGGGAGGACCAAGGCAAATAAAACCTTTAGCTCAGCTTGGTTTACCTCGAGGCACGCCTCCTCTTAACCTCCCCCGAATCTCGCGACGCGCAGGACCCCCTAGGCTGTCTACGATTCCGGAAAGCGGCGAGGTGACAGTAATGAAAGGGGAGCCCCTGTATATCGGCTGCGTGGCGAGCGGAAAGCCGGACTCCACCATCACGTGGCGACACATGGTAAGTGAGCTGTCCTCTCACTTTCTATCCTTGCTTCCCTCATCCGTAATGTGCTGCCGACGCACTGTCGCCCCCTGTGCAAGCCACTGTCGTCTTCCCCACGCTCTTCGATCACCTCTTTACGCGCGCTTACGGGAGCAGCAAAGCTCTGTGTCGTGGCGACTGGGGAGCCCACTGCACGGCCGCCCTTCCGCCGTGTCTCTGTGTTACGAATATGAATGAACGAATGCTGGACGTCTCCTGTGCAGATGTCAGCTCGCTTTACTTCTGTGATTTCACTATCACTGGCTCTCGTAGTTCGGCTCTGTTTTCGTTGCTTTATTCACGTGTGTGCTCGCTCACAGAGAGCCGAGCGAATTCCCTGTCACACGTATACCCTTCTTTGTGGCAGAATACGGCCACCTGCCATCTGTCGTCCGTGCTATCTCGCTATACCTTTTCGCGATGTACCAAACACTTTCGAATGCGCGCACTGTCGTACCTTTTCGGCGACGTAGTCGTGATAAAAGTTCGACTAAATTATGACTCGGCCGCACGCAAATTACGGTGCGCCCATCGCCTGAACGCCGTTGCAATGGGGCATCGCTGCTCTCGGAGGCTACTGCAAATGCTGCCTTGATGTTACTGACCAGAAACAGACCAGTTATAGACCAGAAAGCTGTCTTTTATGGCAGGGGCTCGGTGATGGGTGTAACGAATACGTCTTATCTTCTCTGGAGACGTATTATTCTGTTTTATTCTGGTCCGGTATACGCCTTATTCTGGTCCCCGGAGTGAGCGGGTTGCGGCATTTAAATTGAAGACTCTACTACGGAGGTCTGCGGCATATCTGTAAGCTCTTCACGACGATTTGTGGAAGATGCAGTCACGTGTACAAATTGAGCATGCAGACGAAAGTCGCCCGCAATGTGGGTTGCACACAAAAGGTGCATAAGCTGTGATGCAACGTTTTAATAAAGCGCTGTCGTCGTGGTAGAAATTCGGCGTACGTGGGCACCTAGGCTTTCAGCCCCGTCACCATCAATTTTGGTATATATGATGAAATCATGTGACCCAAATTGTGACGAAGGGAGATATAAAAGTGTACAACTCACTTTTTCAACACTCCTAACTTGAGCCGAACTTAAAACAAGTGAGATTTGTTCTCCTCTCCCTTAGCTATGGGCGAAAGAGACGTATTACTATATGACGCAGCAGGACATTTCGATTTTTTTTTGATGGCCCGCGTGTTACATCAAGTTCAATCTCCATGTTTATGTTTTGTTTGTGTTTTGACTGTGTTTTATGTTTCCCTGCTTTGTTTCACCACTGTTGCGTTATTTGGGCCCTATATGTTGTGCAATTCAGTTACGCTTTGTGTCATTCTCTTCTGCAGCTTTGGACGAATTCGTTACTGTCATTGCACTTGTTAAGCGTCAGAGAAAAGCGTGTAGCGGCCAAAAGGGTTCCCATTCCTCGTCCTTTAACTGAACTGGCTGTGCATATTTGATCAGCCTAGAAGACCTTCGAAGTATGCTCCAGCTCTGGGGGATATGAGTTTAGTGATGCCCGCAGCATGACGCCTTTCGTTCCATTGCCTATACCGTCGTGTTAAATGTGTGGATGTTGTTTCCGAATGTTTACAGGATCATATCAGCACCTCAAATGTGGCACGGTCGTCGAGGTCCGTAAGTGGCATTTGCCTCTAAAAGAGAAAAAAAATGCAAAAAAACGTAGTTCCAGTGTGTGCAAGCAGCAACAAAACCTCATATTCCCGCTAGAATCTTGCTGCCTGTGTGGCCGGCTCTTCTTACTCCTGCGACCCACCTCTTGTCCTGTGGCAGAATTTTTTTTTCCTATGTCCCCAAACGATATAGCCTGCGTGGCCGTTTTGCCTCTTTCAGGGTGGTTTTGCGTGCAGTGGTATGTGTGTGTGTGCGTGTGTGCATTTGTCCACTCACTGAAACCAACCGTGTGCCGTGTGTGTGTAGCGTGTCTTCCGGTGTTGCATGACGTGAAGACGCGACGGGTTTGTTGAAACCCGCGGCTCTGTGACGTATACGGGCACCGTACGCTGCGCCGCCATCATGCCCGGCGAACCCCGGCTTTCGTAGTGCACGTGCTTTCAAACGTAGACCGCTACTCCCTCGCCGCCGCCTTTTTCTTTTGTGCGCATATTTCCGCCACAGTTTTTTTTTTGTAAGCTCCATCATTCCCTTTTTGTTCTGTATTACACTTCTTGTCTCATTTTACCTTCGTCTCTTTAGTTCATTTTGTTCTGTATATAACTATAGGCTTTTATGGTTCCTCCGAAGGTGTGTTTGTTAGATTTCGCAGGGAGAGGGAAAGAAGTAATCCCCCTAGAAAAAGTTTGTTCAGGCTTTTTTCACTGATACCGTCATCACAAAAGTCCAAATAAAAAAACTACAAAGAACGCAATTTGAAAAGGCTCACGTAACCACTTCGTGAGCCCTTTGTGTATCTACGGCATATAGAAGTTTTTTTGCTAAGAGCCCATTTCTCTTTTTGCTGTCACGAAGCAAGTGGCAGGTGTGGTCGTATGACGAGGTGTCAACGCTGAACGCCATGCCCACTCGCGTTTGTTGACGCGCGAGATCAAGCGAGGCGTTTTGGCAGAAATCTATTATTTATCCAAGACATAGTTTTGCTGCTGCACAGTGGCTTGGCTTGCAGTAATGCGTTTCACGATATAACGCTTGAGCGGACTTTGCGTTTCAGCGTTAATGGAGCGGATGGCCTGCTTTTTCCACATATTTTTTTTTTTTTACAGCATGAGGAAGTCAGTCAGATTTTGATGCTGTTGCTGTTTCTGTCTTCCTTCCTTTTTGAAAATGAATGCCTGTCCACAAGGGGACATGGACGTCAGCTAGTAAATTGTATTTTTTTCCCGCTTCGTTACAGGCGTGCGCTTTTTCTGTGACATGCGCAGTAAACCGCAGCCTTCTGCTATCTAGTGGCTGGTTCTGCAGATAACGTTTTGCTTGTAGTTGTGCGAGCTTGATAGAATGTACATCCTTGCTCCCGTTTCTGTATTGCTCATATTAAGAATTGGATGTACTCATGTAGTTTTATGTCATTTTTTATTAGTTAAGATGTTATTTCATGAATGAACCATACAACTATTGTCGAGTTCAAGTGCAACAATGTCTGGACACGCAACTCCTGAACATTCCCAAAACATGGGGACATGATGTGTACGTGGCGCCATTTCTCGGCGGCAGCGTTGGTGTCCTGCCTTAATTGAACGAGAATCGGTCGGAAAAAAATTTCTTGGACATAGATAGATAGATAGATAGATAGATAGATAGATAGATAGATAGATAGATAGATAGATAGATAGATAGATAGATAGATAGATAGATAGATAGATAGATAGATAGATAGATAGATAGATAGATAGATAGATGATAGATAGATGATAGATAGATAGATGATAGATAGATGATAGATAGATAGATGATAGATAGATAGATGATAGATAGATAGATAGATAGATAGATAGATAGATAGATAGATAGATAGATAGATAGATAGATAGATAGATAGATAGATAGATAGATAGATAGATAGATAGATTGATTCTTAGCGGACTGCAGCACTACAAGCACTCTACGGGATGCAGTGCGACGCCGTAACTTTAGCACTATGTTCAAATGAGTTTCTGCTGTATCAGAACGGGAGTCGTTCTTGATAACTACTTTCCTTCGTCAGATATTATTTTTTTTCGACAATTTCTTGTTCAGTTACGGAAGATCACCGCTGTCACTGACGAGAAAAGGCTTACCTTTCAAATGTCTTCACACCTTGATCATTTATACATTGATTGACAGGTTAGCGTTCTGTGAAAGTAGGTAAAATTAGCATCTTATCTACATTTCTATCATAACTTCATAATTCATAGGAGTTCCACAGATGAGACGGTGTATATCACGGATTGACTTTAACAAGATTTCACACAAGTGAAGTAAACTACTATGATCAGAAACTGCACCCTGGTTTTTCTTCCTTTTTCTGCCATTACAACCCGGATTCATCGCGAAAAAAACAGAGGGGCGCTGACCCTCTGGTAATCTTGCGCTGTGGTTGAATCTTAACCAGATACTACGAGCAGAAAAACAAGTTATATTTTATCAAAAATGAGCCTAGATTCCTTTCTGAAGTGTCTTAAATGAGCCCTGCAACACTTCCTCAACATGGTCGCAAAATTGCGCCGATCGGTAGTCGAAGCTCCTGAGAACATGCGAGCAAGCATTATAGCGCCTCATGTGGCCTGAAAACTGCAATTCTCAAGCAGCTAGAAAAATAGTGTCTTATTATTTCTACCAACGGTTTTATTCCCAAACAACCGTGCCATACACCCAAATTCACGACCAATGGTGATTTTGAGCATCGTGAGCTGCAATGTTACTGTGGTCGCCGAGGGATGTCGCCACATACCCACGCGCCCGCGTGCGATCACGCTGAAAGCTTGGCCTTCGGCCGGATTTGGTTTTGGGGGGAGGGGTTGCAAACTCTTGTTTCATCGCGGCTGGGGGAGAGGGAGAGTGCTGGAGTAGTTTGGGGGGAGGGGCAAATGCTGGCGTGGCTGTCTAGGAGGGCTGGTGCCTATATATATATATATATATATGTATATATATATATTCTTAGCGGACTGCAGCACTACAAGCACTCTAGGAAGCTACGGGATTCGCAGTGCGACGCCGTAACTTTAGCACTATGTTCAAATAAGTTTCCGCTGTATTAGAACGGGAGTCGTTCTTGATAACTACTTTCTTTCGTCAGATATTTTTTTTTTCGACAATTTCTTGTTCAGTTACGGAAGATCCGACCGCTGTCACTGACGAAAAAAGGCCCACCTTTCAAATGTCTTCACACCTTGGTCATTTATACATTGATTTATACATTGTACAAATGATGATATACATAATTTATACACTCACCCCCTGCCGACGCCCATGCTTGAAAGTAAGATGCACGTTCGAAGAAAAGGAGTGCTCAAATCAAGGTCACATCTTTCCCCCATGCCACGTAACTTCTTTCCCCCATTCCATCCCTTCATGTTTAGTTTACAGCGTACTCGTCGGAACGAGAGACGAGAGAAAGCTATTGCAGCTTGTGACCAATCTCCGACTCCCCTCGTACTTGACGAATACCAAAATATTTTGCGGTGATGGATTCCTGAGGCAATAAATTTTTTCGGTGACTATTAGATGGTTATTTAGAGAAGTGTTGCAAGGCCTCTTTAAGTTGCTCAGTGAGGTCGTGAAGGAAAGTGGGACAATCAACACTCTTACCTCATGTATCCCCAAATCTCACAAGTACAGGTGGGAACCGGTGAACCAAAACACAATGTGAACCTACCTTCGTGATTCCCATCATGACGGAGATAGGTCCACTTACCGAATTGTCGCAATTCATTACTGTGGGGTTTATATCTGCCAGATAGGCTCTATAGCACAGAATGTATCTAATTGTTCATGTTTTCATTAAGAAAGCTTCATTATGGTTGTCCAGTCGGTTTGAAGAGCAGTAGTCGCCAGCACTGTGACTTTTTTGTGCTGTAGAAGAACCTTCACTAAGGCTTTCACAGCTGGAATGTCTGGTGGAAATGTGCATGGTGTGTGCTTTCTCACGTTTTTGATATGTGGCCTCCCACTTACTTTTATAACAACCAATTACATAATATAAATTTACTCTGTGTGGCACATTTGCCTCACGGCCCAAAGCTTACCAATATAATATTAAATATTCATGTTAACATTTATTATCACACTGACATAATAACTAAAAAACGACCAATGCAGCCCATGTTTGTTTGAAATTAAAATACACTAAGCATTATAGCATGGAACCAGCGTTTGATTGTTACCGTTAGCCTGATTGTGGCTTTTCCGTCGCTTCCAGAACGACTCTTCTATTGACGTCAACAAACTGGTTAAGGACAACCGCATCGATATCGAAGCTGCCGACTCAAAGCACTCTGGAACTTACCAGTGCACTGCATCGAACGGCTACGGCAATCCTGTTACGGATTACATCACCGTGAAAGTTCTCGGTAAGAATGGCAGCGTAAAAAAGAATCGAGGCTGCGGTTGAAACAAAGAAACTAAAATCCACTCATCTCCACGACGAGCTGGCAAAGCTCAGGGTACCGAGTAATCGTATATGTAATCTGGGCGTTACCCCATATAATGTAAATTGACATAAAGTTTTATAGAAATGTAAATTTGTTTCGTGTCCCGGTCGTTTCAGACAAAGCAAGGAAGATTTGGAAAATTGGTGGAGTGGAGGATATTCCTCGAAAGTGAATCCAAGAACCCGTTCTCTTAGCAGTGTCAAGATACAATTTTAACAAGGGCAATTTGTTGAGACATATAGTACCTCACCGTATGACTTTGTGGTACAAGTCTTCTTGAGAAGCTTCAAGATTTAGGCACATTTTAGTACAGATTAACTAATCAATACTTTTCTCAATAGATCGTTTTGGGGGGGGAACAGCGATGTATTACCTTAGAATTAGCGTGTATATATGTGTATACGTCGAAGTCTATTGTGAAGCATTTTACTTATGTCTCACATGTGTAAACTATAGCAAGTGTTGTGTACCGTGACCACAACGGAAGACAAGGCTATATGTCCTAAAGAGCTTCTACCCTAAAAAGGACAACATGGATACATAGAAGGCTACTTGTCACGATTTGCGATATGTTGTGTGGTATACTCAAGACTTCCCTAAAGCTAAGTGTTATACTGAACTACAAGTGAATGTGCTCGCTGTTGAATTCGTGCTTAGGTAAACACTTCGCTAAGAACTCAAGTGTTTTGTGAACTATTAAACATGCAAGCATTGGCATTTGTGAGCTTCGTGAGCCATTGCACCGCTGAACATTATTCATGAAGCCTTTCATTAAGGAATCATTACGCAAACAAAGGAAAGCGTGATAAAACAGATGTTCCTACTTTATGTATCCCATGCATGATGCAGCTGAAAACATATTTAATACAGAGTTGATCACGGAAAACTAGCCTTGTACACTCTTTAACAGCAAAGGTTAAGCCAGTAGGTAGGGAGACGAAATAAACATAGCCGTGCTTTGCTGCTTTCCTACATGAAAAAAAAAACAATAAAAGAGTACTTTGTTGCTTTGAGGTAGGATTACGCCATCTTGATTCTCGGCATAATATTCTGATATCCTTCCTATTTGTTCATTACTACTTGTTCATCACTATTTGTTCAATGCGCATTTCCCAAGTTTCATTCTAGCTCGGCCAGAAATTTCCTTTGCACCTTTGAATAGATATTTTGCTAGATTAGGCGTAAATTGAAATTTGAAGTTTTATCTACGGCTTTTGGAATGTTTTGGTTTGTTTAGGTGATATGTATTGTTGCTGCTAACAAAAAACTGCTTGACGTAGTACCAAATGTCAATGTGATCATCTTCTAGGCAACGATGTTTTTTGTTTTTTGTTTTTTTTTTTCTTTAAAATTAGGCACCTTCTTTTTCTTCTAACCACTACCACCACCTGCTCCAGTTGCTAAGGGCGAGGATAAGCGTGCACGCCCGCAGTTGGTATGGGAGAGTTAGTAAGAGTGGAGAGATAACACCTGTCGGCGCGCGGACACCGACAGACGCCTGACATGCATTGACTCACAAGTGCATTCGCATTTAAATGAGGCGGAGTGGGTGTTATGAGTATAGTTCGATGTGCGTCCCGCAACCGACTGTCGCTACTGCGTAAGCTACTGAGAGGTGGAATGTCTGCATGAACGTCGTACAGTGTGTGCTGCCCGAAACAGCTGAATGCACGTTTGCAGGCAAGCCGACGGTGAAGACGTCGCTGCTGTGGTCGTCGGGCGTGGGCGGCAGCCTGAACGCCGAGCTGCTGTGCGTGACGCACTCGGACGTGCCCGGCACGACCCGTTGGCTGCGCACTGACGGCACGTGGCTGATGCACGGCGAGTCCGTGTCCCTCTACACCTCTGGCAACCACTACACGGCCCGTTTCAAACATGTCACCGAGCGAGACTACGGGAACTACACGTGCGAGTCCAAGAACAAGTTTGGCGTCACCTCGGACACCGTCGAACTTCAAGGTACTGCTGCGTGCTTTCCGAAATAGTGAGATATAAGGCACGATGCAAGGCAGGAAGGTTAACCAGAAATCAAGTATCTCGTTTGCTGCTCTGCACTGGGGAAGGGGAAATAGGAGACAGAAAAGTAAGAAAGAGAGAATGAGGGAAAGAGAGCGGTACGGGAGCGAGAACACACGCACACTAGAATGTCACAGTCGTTCGACAAGGTGGGTCGGTCACAGAAACTTTAGGAGGGCCTTCGTCGCTTTTCGGCATGAAGCTCATACTTTTCGAATGGGCGCTTGTACAGTGTTGCTGCATGAAACCTTGCTCTTACTAAATCCTAATTTTCAGAAAGGTACTCATCCTGTCCCATAACATTTGTAAGCGTGAAAGACACATACCACGAACATAGTTTTACCTGAGTCTGGCGCTTACATTAAGTTATGGATCAGTAATAACTAGCCTGCTCTAAAGACCTCATCCTGGGGACACTCCGATTGTTCCGGTTATCGATACTCAGTGAATTGTGTGTCGGTGCACCTTAGGTTGTTGTTTAACATAGAAGAGAAAGAACAAATGTTTATCAAAAGCAAGCTCCCTGTTTGCCCAAAGTGGGTGCCCTCCTTTTCATGGGTAGTCGTGGGCCTTCGCCGTGTCTCTTGAACAAGGCTGCAATGATTCTTAAGTAGTGGGTCCGATAGCCTGGCCTTCCACTGCTCTTCAGATAGTGTTGCAGTGCTAGGGTTCTGTACGCATTCCCATATGGCATAGAGTCCGGGACAATACTTGCACATGTATGAGTGCTCAGTCGGTGAACTTCTGGCTGAAATACAGAAAACAGAGGAAGAAGACGCTGCTAACTCGTTAACGATATCTATTGTATTTTAGAACTATGACTGCTGAGTCTATTCTGTGGTGTAGTTTTTTTTTTGAAACGTTTGAAATTTGTGATTTTGACAAAAAGAATTGTTCAGCATATTCAGTGCGCATCCCGTCGACTGTACAGTGTGGGGAATGTAAAATAGTGTCTGTGGATTTCAGAACGACGGTTGTACGTTAGAGTGACATATTCATTTAAAAATAAAAGACCTCACTAGCTTTTTTGGAGTACTGGTAGCAGAGGACGCCACGTATTTTGGGAGCATGGGATAATGAATCACAAGAATCTACAACTCAACGCACTTCATGTTGCTGCCATCAAGTTATGCGAGGCCCAGGCAGAACAATTACCGGTTTAATATGCCAGACTAACACAGCCACTATCACCGCCACCATCATACCTGTCACCACCACATAACATTGTTAAGCTTTGCGCCGAACTCTCAAGACATTTTACTTTGTAATGCTGCTAATTGAGTTTGATAGATGGCTTAGAATACCATGTTCAGAAACCTCTGGGCAAGGGCTTATTCTCAAGCTAATTGGTGCTTGCTAATAATTAAAGTGTAGCGCAAGAAAACAAAACAGACACGGGAACACATGCCACAGGCGCTAATTACAACTTCAACGAAAAATTGATAAAAAAAGATATATATCTGCTACCCTCGTCCTGCATTGATGTCTGTCGCTGAAACGCTTCTGTAGGAGGTTGGAGCGGGTGCTCCTGCTAATGATGCTAGAGCCGGTAAGCTCAGTGGCCCAAGGCCTGAATTTGTGCCTAATGTGTGCAAAACGAGCCACAATTTCAAAAAGTGGACAGTAAGTATATGATGCATACCTGTCGTGTTTTCTGCTCCCAATAGGCTCGCCCGATTATGTCCCCACTTAGTAATGTAGCATTTTGGGAGTGTTGGTACGTCATACTGTAGTTTTTTAGCGCTCAAATAAACACAGACATAGCGCCTGTCCCGCCCTTCTTTATCCATCTTTTTTCATTCGCTCGAAAAGTACATCGTGTCCCCGCATCATGAGCAATCATTCAAAAGGCTGCCATGTAAAACACTTTAAGCCGTATGTGCGTTGCGCCACCACAATGGTGTATGAAATCCTTCTGACCTGCGGCAAGTGCTACATAAGGCAAACAAGCTGCTGTGTCAATGATAGAATGTGCCAGCACGCGAATAATTTGAACAAGGACGTGAATGTGCAACTTTCTGTATATAGTAAAGCCTGCGCATGGGCTCCAATGTCCGTGATGTCAAGGTTGACTGGTAGAATAAAGAAAGAGCGACTCGAAAGTTTTTGGAAATGTTTTTCTTTTCTCTCAAATGAAAGGATGACAATTGTGTAAGTCAGACATGTGTTGTCTTGTTCACCGAAGAATATGCCTTTTTTTTTTGGTCATAGAGTTCATGTGCAGATACACCTGTAACTTGCCGGAGGTCACTTGCGTGCCTGCAGGTTTGAAGCATTATATATTCTGTATTTTATCAAAGTTCCTCTAAAGTCCTGCGGTGGTGGTCTAGTGGCTAAAGTACTCGGCTGCTGACCCGCAGTTCGTGGGAATGAATTGCGGCTCCATTTGCGATGGAGGCGAAAGTGTTGTAGGCCCGTGTGCTCACATTTCAATTCACGTTAAAGAACCCCAGGTGGTCGAAATTACTAATGCCTTCCACTATACGGTGTCTATCATAATCATATGATGCTTTTGGGACAGCAAACGCCACATATCGTTCAATCAAATAAATTTTTGTTTAATGTTGTAAGTAGCGCCTGTGATGTGTTTCTGTTTTCTATCTTTGCGTGACACCATGATAATTTTCATAAACTCCGGACATGTGTATATAAGCGTTATGCAGCTGTGCTCATATCTGCAGCATATTGTAAAGAGTGCCATTTGACGTTTGTCCCTTACCACTCTTTCTGCAGCTGCACCGACCAGGCCTGTTGTGATGGCCGTCGAAGGCCCGAACTCGACAGCTTACCTAATCTCGCTTTCCTCGGTGGCTCCGTATCCTATCAGCAAGTACATGATCTACATCAGGGCGGAAAAGGTGAGCATGCATTCGAGGTATAGGAGACATGAATGACTCAACAAAGGCATTGATCCCAGTGGCCTAATATTTTGATCTGTACAATTCACACCAAGTGGAAACGCAACTCTAGACAACCTCATGAAACTGCGTACCATACCCACCATGCTGGTCTAATGATTATAGAGCTCCACTGCTGACCCGCAGGTCGCGGGATGGAATCCCTGCCACGGTGGCCGTGTTTTCAATGGAAGCGAAAATGCTTGAGGCTCTCGTACTAAGATTTAGGTGTACGTTAAAGAACGTAATCATATCGCGGTTTTCAGACGTTCAACCCCACCAGTTATTGTTCAAACCAACGTGCAATGACGATGGTAAGGATGGTATTAGGGACGTTACTAGTATGTTTCAGCTTATAAAGTACAGTCATTTTTATATTAATGCATTAAAATTACAGGGGGCAAAATGAGACGCCAGCTGGCAACAAAAGGGCGTTCCACTTTTGCCATCATGGCGGTGAACAAAGCTCAGTTACACTCCCAGTATTAAACAAACATAAATATGCAATAATATAGAAACGTGGCCTTTGCTACAGTTCGATTGATGAGAATAAAATGTGTCATTCGAAGTTTTTAGGTTCATTCTCAACCTGTGGCAACTCGATGTTCGATCCCTTTATTTTTTTAGAGTAAAGTAATAATTACTTTGCTGGCGTTCAAACGTACAAGTAATGTCTCCTTTACCTATTTTTGTTTCCATTAGGTTGCCTATGAAGAAAAAGTCATAGCTTCACCGCAAAGGCAAAGCAATGAATGCAATAGCAACAAATCGAAAGTCACGCGAAAAATAGCAAGCAGATCGAAACGTGCCCCACGTTTCTCACGCACGAAACGTACTCACAAGTACAGATGAACGCGAATAAGTGTGTCAGTTGTTACTTCGCTGTGCCTGAAAAGCGCGCCCTTTTCGCAAACGGAGACTGCGCAACGAGTGCAGTGACCCCTGTGCGACCGGTAGGAATCGTTCCGGTAAAAGCACAAGGTGTACGATTGTCCCCACCGCGAGATAGCGAGCGTACTCGTGAGCGTCCCCTCCTCGCGGGGCAAAGCGTACGTGGGAGATGGGAGCGCGCGTCGCCGCCTCGTGACGATCTGGCGACGCGCGCTCGTTGCTCCATCTCGCTGGTAATGCTGAAAATACGATAGTTTCCCCGCCAGAGGTAAGTGGTAGATATCAATAGCTTGCCGCTTTAACGTTCAAGGGTGTGCTTTTTCGTGGGCTCAGTGGCTAACACGTCGCACTCACAATCCACAGGTAGGACGTTCAATTCCGTGACCCGCAGTCATTTTTTTATTATTTTCTTTCTGGCGTTTTCACATATAAAAATACGTATACATATACGGTGAATGACGGCGACGCCGACGTCAACGCCGGCGGCAACATCCAGCCGAAACTGACCATATAATTGACCGCAATAAAAAAAAAACACGTTGATCAATACCTCCTCTTTCGTGCAACCGCATATGAAAAAGACATTGCAGTGACACAAAACTTACATGATGCTAACATACGACGTAATGAATGCATAAATCGTACGATTTGAACGTGTTCTGCTAGGGGCACAACAATAATTGTTGAAGGCCCCGACACACTTTTCACTCTAGCTCATAAGACAAACGTCTTATGAAATGAACTAGGCCTTTGCTGAATGCACCGCACGGCTAGTGTATTGATACGTTGACATGGTGTCTCCGTAGATGATCGAGTTGAACAATATATATATATATATATATATATATATATATATATATATATATATATATATATATATATATATATATATACAAATTCTTCGTGAGTTTGATTTCAGAAGCCATGTAAAAAAAAATTAGGCAGTAATTTTTGTAGTTATTTCATTTTGAAGGGCACGTCAGACGCACGTGGTGAGAAAATTATGCTTGAACTATTTGCTAATCGAGTCGATTCACTGTAATAATACAGCAGCTATTGCCTATGTAGCATTAACTTTTACTTTCCCTTCAGAAATATAAATACCTCGTTATCAAGAGCACTTCTATTTGTAGAAATGATCAAAGAAATAAGAAAAGACACCCATCACAGATTTTTCACGCTTAGCTAACTCATCTGCCTCACTCCGTTTACTGCATTAGCCATGGTGAGCGACATTGAATGCATGAGATTCTTGTTTAGTAAATAATATCAGGCACACCGTACAACAACTGACTGAGGGCTGCACCATGTAACATACTTTCAGGCCTGGTACATTTCATTTTTATGCTTTTGCTAAAACTTTTAACTACTTTTAGTGGCATCTTAGCAAAATAATTGTATCTGTTTAAACCATGTATTGTTTTCTGAAGCTTCCCTTACCCAAGGCTAAAGATCTTCCTTCTAATTTTCATTAAGTACAATATTATGTTCTTTTACTTTATTTCCTACTTTCCGATTTTGGTTTTGCAATTTTTACGTAATATACTTTGTCTTTTTTTGTGTGTGTGAAATTGGGAGTGAATTCAGAGCCCAGAAGTAGTAATTACAATAGCGTATTCAAAAATTGTTTTTGTTGCAGAGGAGGACACATTTTGTAATGTTCCAGTTCTTGTTTTTTCTTTGCTTCGCTATTACGGGGTTATTTTTTTCAGAAAACGCCGTGACATATGATTGTGTGACAGAATGTTGGTGCAGGTGGATCTAGGCAGAAAATTGTCAATACCAAATTTGAATTGTTCATAATACAAATTGATAAAATTGTTATTACATTTCTGCGCAAGTGTGTTCTGTGTTCTTCAATGTTTCTCTGAAACATTCTTTCGCCTTCTCTATCTGACTTATGTTACTAACGTTTCTGTCTCTCGATCCCTCTCTTGTTTAGCGTCAACCGAATTTGTATTGTTGTGCCCAAGTATTTAAACATCCGTTTCTTTTCCTGCCAGCACGCCCAAGATGTTGAAGAGTGGCGGAACATCACGATTCCAAGAAGCCACGGCCACGACATGCAGAAGATGGGATCTAAGGCCGCCACGAGCTACCTGATAACCAACCTCGAGCCTGAAACGCGATACCAAGCATACGCTGTTGCCATCAACGAAATGGGCACGAGTGGTCTCACCAGCTTCGACTTTATGACCGCATTCGGTGAGCCGGCATGCCAGCCTGAATGGGAAACACATACAGCGAAACTTTTTTCCCACACAAGCGCGGACCTATTGTGCTACGGTCACAGTAGGTCACAACATACTATGAGATTCCACCGCTCGCTCTTGCGCTTCCAGAGGACATCTAGACATAGATAATTATCATGAACTGCTGCTTCATACCTGCTTTCTTAAAGGGACCCTGCAACATTTTGGTGAACATGGTCATAATATGCGGTCAAATGATAGTCCAGAATCCGGCAGACGTGTGAGCCAAGCATTCTAGCACAGCAGGTGGCATAAAACTTAAAACTACTTCTCAAAATCAGATTGAAGTTGCTCCATATTCACTTGAAAAATGATGCCACAAACCCAAACTACGACACCTCATGCAAAAAGACCACCGCCATTGGTTGACTTGAGCACCGTGAACTGCGTATTTGCTGCAGCTGCCACCGGATGCCGCTGCCTGCCTGCACGCTCACGCTTGTGATCACACTGAAAGTAAGCCATAGGATAAAAAAAGATAAAAGAAAGAGTGCAAATCCGTCACACGCTCTGAAGAAGGGTCGTACCTTCTTGCTTCCTTTTCATTCCCTCAGCGTACCTTTCAGCATGCTCACTTGAAAGAAGAGAGAAACCGTTCAAAGCGTGCTGCTAATCTCTGTAGCTCAGCTCGTGCTTGATGGATTCCAAAAACTTTTACGCCATTTGATCAGTGAGGTAATGAACTCCTCTAATGAAGCTGTTTGATGATTACATTTAAAACGTGCTTCAAGGTCCTTTTAAACATCGTTAGCCACAAATAGTCACCGTGAAAGCGGCAATGCACTGCGGCACACTCACACCATGCTCGTTCGCATTGAAAAGGCACTGTCATTAATATAAAACAGTCATAATTGCACTTACGTACGCATAGAGAAAACTGACTTTTGGGCTTGTTAGTTTGTTACATTCGCTGAATCCGTAGCGCTGAAAACACAGGCACAAGGATGAGGACAGGACGTTTGCGATTCATAACCGAATCTTTATTTTTGAAACCTGTTTTGCTGATGCTCAGTAATAATACAGCAAAAACTGTATCAAACGTGCTAGCCAGCATCATCTATATTTGCGATTTCATTTGCTCTCAGAGTAATAGAGGGGGCGTTGACCCTGTTGACACCTTCGTCTGCAATCAAACTGCCCTCGTCTATTTCTCGGGCATTCTTATCAATGTTCCCATGCAAAACTACATATTATTTAAACTAAGTTAAACAACCGCAAACTACACATTCATTAAGTAGAGGTAAAAAAACCGCAGTCGCTGCAATGCACTAACACGTGCTCGTTGCGCCATAAGTTTATTCTGATTGTGCTCCCTTATACTGCCATTCAGGTATTTTCCTTGTCTTCCCTACATTTGCAGCAAACGTCGAGGGTGCGCAGAGAAGCAGTAGTGCCATTTCGCAGCCTGTGAACAAATTACTGTTCGTCGCTGGTACATCCGGGAGGCAATAAATCTGAAAAATTATAACTCGTAGAAGTGTTGCCTTCATATTGTGTTTTGTCTTACCGACAAAACATGATATGGAGAAGGAGAGAATGGCGTTTTGTGAAAGGGAGACGTCAAACACACTCTCCCTAGATTCAGCTTATAGAGAACCGCTAAACGTGACTCTGATGTTGATGATTATGACCATGTTATGTGTTGTTTTATGGCGCTTGATGACCAAAAAGCACCAAGTCTTGAGAGAAGTGATGTGAACAATAATTATGGATGGTGGTTGTATAACGACCTTGCCAGCCGTTCCTCCCATGGTTGTTTAAGTTGACATAGGAAGCTATCTTTGGTAGTTTTGTCCAAAATAAGAGTTTGCAAGTTTTCTTCAGCACCAAGAAAAGTAACGACCATTGGCCCTATTCTCACTTTTTTGTAGCATAATTGAGGCCAAAGCGCGATCGTCAAATTGCACTGTACGTCAGTACTTTCACTTGTGGTTCAGCTCAAGCGACAGTAAACTAAGCGCCGATAAAATGTACGTTTCTGATTCAGTCTCGTTCACACAGATCATCAACAAAACACAGCTGTTCATTAACGTTCATAGCTATGAAAAAATTATTCGTGGTAAGGGCAACACATACCATACATCAATGCTGGTTCAAGTGGTCTGTCTGTGCATGCTGAAGTCGGTGCTCTGTGCGTAACATCAGCTTGTCACTGTCTAAGATCACACAAGTGGTGTTATTGGGTGCAGGTGGGTACGTTAGTTTACTATTCTAGCATATTTGAAAGATAATGGATGGCCATTCAAATTGTATGTCTGATCTAATTATGCACTGAGAAACAAACACGGCAATTTTTATAACACATGTGAGTGAACACATAAAGCACATACATGCACTCCTTTTTGCTCTGAAGTATTAGTGCCAAGTTAAGCAGCCATTAAATGTAGTTTCCGTTGACTACAACTGGAACAACGTCAATGATTTGAATGATTTATGTGCTTATTAGTAAGGTAAATTGAGAACTTGAATGTTTAGACAACTCAATGCCTAGCGCAGCCACTGGCATAAATAGCTTGCCTCTTTCACTGCTAACTATGGCGTTGCCGAACCACCTTTTTTTTTCGGGTTTGTGCTGAGGCTACGGTTGTGGTGCTTAACATCTTAAGTTTTTCTCTTGTGTTGCGGCAATGTTTGTTATTTATTTTCTTACTTGCTGCATGGTGGTATACAGCAGTTGCTTATTATTATTTCCACCTCATGCAGCCCTCCCTAAGCAGCCATTGAGTACCAAAGCCAGCGAGGAAGTTGAAACTGGTCTGCAAGCTAATGACCCTGGTAGTGACCCCGAAAGATTTTTTTCTTTTGGTTCATGACCTAGCATGCTACTCTTCCCGGAGCATGACCTCAGTCATTGCTTGCTGCACCATGTCATTATGCATGAGTCATCGGTATTGCTTCTGTCTCACTTTCTTTTTCTTTCTTTCTATTCTATCGATGTTGCGTTCAGATAAATGACCGAACGATACACTTGGTACGTTTGTCAAAACAAAATGTAAGATTCTCTAGATTTGTTTATCCTACTCAAGCTAATTTTGTATCAATGTTTTCGAATGTTCATTACCATTAACGGCTGCTAATGACAAAATTCTACGCTTTGAGAGTCCGACATAATACACATGCTGAATGAGCATACAGACATCTAACGAAGTCTCTTTGATCTTGAAGCCCCGCTTCAACTGGTATGAAATGAATTTTACCTAGTCGTGCGGGTTTCCAGGGGCTTTTTCTTGTATTTTCATTTCCGTAAGCTTAGACATTGTCAAACGTTTAATGAACGCTCTCTTAACTCCTTTTGCATTTCTGATGCCACGAATAGCAAATGAAGCAAATAAATCTCTCACTCAAGCTTTACTGTTCCTCAATTTTTGATAATTAGCTCATTAGTACTTGCGCTTTAATGTAATTTTCTGAATCGCACTGGAGCGAATATTTTATCATCTTTTCTCGCACGGAAACCACAAAAACAGGCCACTTTTTGCAAACGATACTGTATCAAAGCAACAGCTGCGAGCCAGCCAAATTCGTTACACTTACTAGACCTTACATCACGATACACATTACGCATTACCATGATAAGGTTTTTGTTACCTCCGTTAGTAATATAGCTGCTTTTTAAGCATTGAGAGAGGGAAGTTAAATCGTTTTCGTGGTGTCTGATGCCAGGCAGCGCATTCAGCCCACTCTCTTTCGCCAACATCTTCGTTCCGCACTGCACTCAAACCTCAATATAACAAACCTAGATATAACGTAATATCGGTCGCAACGAAGTAAAGGAAGAACAGTCTTGTTGTATATATATATATATATATATATATATATATATATATATATATATATATATATATATGTAAGGAATGTATCTTTATAACAAACTTTTGTGTATATCAAACATATTTTGTGTAAGATGCAACTTTGTTATAATGAGGTTTGAGTGTTGGTAACAAACGCATGAGTGGCATGCCCAGAACATGCCGCCATTAACGAGAAAAAAAAAAAAGCGGCACGCTCCGTTGTACATCTCCGTGCTGAAGAAAGGCGCACGTTTGCTTTTTCTCTACTTGCAGATGCTTTACAAGAGCAGATCAAGGATAGCGGCAACGGAAACGCCGGCACCCGGGCCACCATCTTCAGTCCGCACATGGTCGGATGCGTCACGGTGGCCCTGCTGTCGATTTTTTTCTGCTGAACACGTCGATCGCCATGAGCCGAATAGTTTTTCTTTTGCCACCTGTGGACTACGTTTGACACAACACACACAGCGTCGCCGCTGACCAACGAACTATTATTTTTATTTTTGAAGCGGCACAGCATCTACCATCTTTCTCTTTCGTTCGTATTACTCACGATGAAGGGCGTCCACGAGTGATGGTTATAATAATTACGTTCATTTTTCATTCTTTCTCCTACCCTTTCTTACTCAAAAGGTCCACGTGTAACTTAAAAAGTCCTTCCGATGTTGTTCATGGTGTTTATTATTATTATTATTAATATTTTGTGCATGCATCAGTTTCTGCATTTCTACGCTTCATGCATTATTTTTTTTTTCGTGATCTGCCAAGTGTTCGCTACGCGGAGAGTCATGTGAGAAAACGTTAGCGGATTGACAGTCACACACAGACGGGCGTTACAGCGGTTTCTTCTATCGTCCCGTGCTGTGTGCACTTCGACGCATCTTGCGCGATAAAAAAAAAAAAGGATACTGTGGGACACACCCAACGAACTACTTCTTACAAAACGACCCTCAGTGTACGCGCGTCTTGTGTCATTCGCGTAACGAACGGCTACCGACACTCACACAACACCCGAAAACTCGTAGTGATCTTGCTATAAACATTCACTCTGTCCCGCTTCGTAGGATACATTCAACACTGGATTCTCATTCTCTCAAGATTTCCCTCTTATCAGCAGCATCTCTTTCCGCAAAGCGTATCGGTGTAGTGACCAAGGCATCTGAGAAGTCGGAAGGTGAAGAATAGAATAGCGATGCACGCGTTGGGGGCGTAAGTGGGACTTTTAATGATCGAGTTTTTTTCTTTACTCTTCCTCGCACATTTCAGCGCAGTAATGTAGTGAGTGTTACGCCCTAAGCGCAATGACATTAAGACTCATTTGTTATGTCTTCATCCGTGGCGCTTATTTCATGTACTGCCATCCAAAGCATACAATTCTTTAAAAACCTTCCAACTATTAACGCTCTTGCTGGACTTGAGCGAACTCTTAGCACTTATGATATTCAAAGGTTCTGTACTGTGTTTCTATACATCATCCTCAGTTCTCATGGTGAGGTTACAAATCTCTCATCCTATATCTCTAACCAATGGCTCAAGCTTTATTGAGAGCACAAGATTTGGCGAGTCAAGTCAATCTATAGGAAGTATTTTATGTTTAAACACTTAAATTATAGTGCGGTAAACAGCGGCTTTTTACGCTTCAATGGCCCATCAAAAGAGCATTATCACAGGAGCCATTACTCTTCTCTGCCTTTCATGATAACTATATTTTCTTTTTCCGGCGGCAACTTGGGAGCTGTCACAGTTATCGCCTTACTGTACAATACTACGCTGTCAAGCACTGCTGGCATAATTTGTTTGTGTGCCCTCGGACTGACGTGTCGTGTTCTGTGAAATTGGTGGTCGCACTAAAATGCGTCAATCTTATCTTCCTGTTAATCTCTCCTTTGTTGTTTTTTTCTCGATTTTTTTTCAATGATTGTGAATCACAATGTCTTGTCATGCTCGTTTTGTATAGCTTGTTCTATTGAAGCTGTAAAAAAAGAAAGCATATATATGTAGCGCAATATTATTGCTCTTTATTTTTTCTTTCTATCTTTTGTATTCATTACTTTCATCGTCCAGAGTGTCAGCTTCTGTGTTCTTGGACTGAAGAATGTTATACATAGAAATATATGCTGTTCTTTTTTTTTTCGTGTCTGCAAAGTATTGCGTCGGATAGGAGAACGAAAGGACAAAAAAAATAGAGCGTACGAAAGTGGCTTTGTCATGACTAATTACACTAATCTAGCAAGTAGCAGTCCTGTTCTGAATGTATAATCATTCTCGTTGCGTAAACGCCGGCTTCTGTCTTACTCTTTGGACAGCCATGTTCGTGGCAGCTTTCTGACTGCTCAAAACTCTGTCTCCGTTTAAGGAAATTAGGCTAGACTCATTTGCATCATGGTGACAGGTGCTACTTCAAGGACGAGATGGTGGAATACGATGTTTACAGCTGCTCTATTGTCCATATTTCCGGGGAAGAAAAGTCAAACGAGCTAGTTCTGTTGTTAGGTGTGAAATTTACACTTATTTGAAATCATTTTTTTCAGAGCTTCCCCGAAGGCGCCTGGCCATCAACATTCAAAGAGTTCTTCGTGTAAAATAATTTCATTTGAGCCGTTATCTATAGGTTTCCGACAGTTTGGTTAGTTGGCGTGCAGTGCGATATACGTACATTTAAATAAAACGTCCGAGAATGTGAGACAAGACACCTTGGAATGCCGAGAAAACGTCGTGGCGCCTGTCACCTCCCTTATTCAAAGTAAATGTTGACAAAGTGCGTCTATCTGTTAGTGTCACCAGTGTAGAAACGTAATCCCGGATCTGAGACGAACACATACTTTCAAATTATCTGCTGAAATACGAGGTATATGCCCACCAATAACTGAGTGCTTAGCTGTGTCGCAAATACTATTTATCGCGTAAACTGAAAGCACAGCGTGTGGGTAATAAGCTGCAGAATATTACTCTGGTCCGCTTAAATTTTCCCGAACAATTTTAGAAGAGACGCAAAGAGAATTCTGTCGACTGTCGAAAGAGCAATGGTGGCTGACTGAAGAAGCGGCGATTGCTACAGTAGACGGATTGGCCGGCGTGCTAGAGCACCACTGCTACTCTGCTGAATCTAGGTGAACAATAAAAATAAAGTTGAGTGGCATGCATTAGTGTTTTGACCGCATCCGGTCTCTGCTCGAGTATTTATTGCACCAAAGAGCAGTAGGCCAGTCCCATGATTCACTTAAATCCCGGTCACCTTCACTTGCGTGTTGCAACGTTGTTGTAGCCTTCTAGCACCTGTTTAGCGTGTCGCGCCCAAAATATGATGAAAGAATGTTAGTGGTATAGTGAACATGATTACTCGGAGTTCTAAAGCTATAGAGCGCCAAGTATTTTTGTTAACTGTACAATGCGAGGTAATGAATGGTTCTTGAAAGGTTCCCTTGTGTGTTTACTTTCCTTTTTTGTTTTTCTGGGCGTTCGAACACTTCGTCACGCTCCTGTAACCTATACTGCCATCTATTTAAACTCTCGATACTGATGCTGAAAGCTAGAAAGCCTAGATTTGTCTTCTTGTCAAGAAACGCTGCTGGCTTATGCTATTAGCAGTGAGCGGCAAATATGTGTACATTAACTGAGCGAGAGACCATCTTCTAATACAACCCAACAGTTGGTTGAAAAATAAATGTTTTGAAGCACGACCAAAGGCAAAATTTAATCGTTAACCACATAAGCAGCTCATTTTCAAAGTACTGATTGTAAATGAGGCTCTCAAATAACGTGTTCTTTTTTTTCCCTCTCGGTTGTTTCCCGTTGAGCCTAGGTGACATGTCAGGATGTACATTCCAAGCTACTGTGACAGAAATTATTTGCAGTTGCGGCGTATCTGTTTTCAGTTAACATAATTTCGCCGGCGGCAGCAGTCACACCAAAGTGCCTCTGAGTTTGCTAGCATTACGATAAAAAAAGCTAAAAATATATAGAACGATTAGTGTGGCATATTTATCTCAAACATTCTAAAGGTCCTATACCCAGCTATTCTCTTTAAAACTGGCTGGTAGATCTGACTGCTAGATTTTCCCTACGCTCTCCAGGGAAGACCACCTCTTCAGTGAGTAATACTTGAAATGACCGTTCTGTCGAATCATTTGGTGGCATTTCCCGATAGCGCCTTGCTTTTGCATACTGAATGCTTCTTTCAGTAGCTCCTAGTGATGCGGTGGAGCCGATGTGATGAGCAACTTTTACACATGCACCGAATGTGATGTGGTCTCGCAATACAGACAACGCCCGACGAGCAGTTGTCGCTGCTGCAAATAATTTCTCTTGGCATTTGGAATATACAAGAAAAGCAGTTTGGTCTTGTGGATTTTGTGAATGTTCTGTCAATAAAGTCAAATACAACCAAAGGTTCAGCGTGTGTGTCTGCGATTCGTACAACATCACCTACGTGACATAGTGGCACGTTTACCTGAATATTTTGTGGGTAATTCACCTTCAATAAACCACTGAAAGACCCTGGATTAGTTGGGCTTAGGTTGGGCGACGCTGTGAGAGAAACAGAATTGCATTATGTGGCGTTGATGTGTTTGGGGACTGCTGAGACACTTTTGAAGTGCCAATACTACCGTTCCTTTCGAGGTGTTGTGGTCGCGAATCTATAATGTAGTCAGGGCCGGCGACAAGATTTTGTACTGAGAAAAAGGCACCGACGACAAGTTAGTTCACGCAGGAGGGCAGGGAGGCTGGAAAATTGCGTTTTGTTTTGACTGTTTGCTCTTGGAGGAGGGGAATGGTTGTGCAGGTAAAAAAAAATTTCGAAGCATGGTAGTATGCGAATAAAGTCAAATACCGTTTCTTAAAAAGCAGTCGAACAACGAACCTTTCTCAGACATTTTCTCTATGCTCCCTCAAATTGATAGCAGTCTGGTTGTCGTATCTCGGCTGGGACCACCGGCGAAAAGAACCGACAAATGCGCATTAATTTTCCTTGACAGCGAATCAAGTTTACCCAGCCACTCTGACTCAAGCTGCACAATTACTCATCGCGACTCTTCTGCATCTTGATGTCGGCAATGTGCTTGCATATGGCATGTCTGGCCACAGACAACAACTGCGTTCGCAGTACGGTATCAGTGCGGTCAACACTAGGACACGCTCAGCTCACCGGGTGCCTCTTCAGGCGCCGAAATCGACCCCATTTCGAAAACCAGGGACATCATTGTCTATGCTTCCATACCTGGAGTCTGCACGCGTAATAGTCGATCGTACGACTACGTTTCTGTGTAAGCGTCAATAAAGATCGATTCTTTCAGTCGATGCTCGTTTTCACGTTGTGTTGCACCTAAGTGAACATTATGGCGCAAGGGACAATAAAGGCCTTCATGGCAAGGTGTTAATAGCTGCAGAGCTACATTTCCCTTTTTTTTTTACTTTCGTGTCATTTATGGGTCCCTGAAATAAGTGCGGGTCACCTTACTTGACATTTCTCTGTGCGCAGTGTCGAATATGTGCGAATATGTCGTTGCGAGGTGGAAACTGCCATAACTTGGGCGGATAAAGATAGGAACTGAGCTGCACTACCGTTCTGAACTACTCACGCATACACTTGCCACAAAAGCAGACTAGACGGCGGAATAATTATTATTGAATAATATAGGGACCATATCTTTGTGCAGCACTATTATTATATGAACAGCGTTTGCTTTGGTCCTATTCAGACTAGCTTAAAGCACTTTCTGTTCCCATTCATAGATTCCCATCTGCAAGTCAAGTATGAATCTTCAAAACACGCTCAAATTTCAGTTGTTGTTTATTTCTGTAGCATTTGACCAGCACCCTTTATTACCGTGAATTTTAGACGCTTGAGACGCTTAAGAACATTCTATGCCGCTGCCCATCGTACCAATCTGAATGACGTGTTATGAAAACCAAGCTCCGTCACCTGGATTCACTTACAGAAAAGAAGATCCTGGGACCTTGGCCGATGGTGTTGCATACGCGCTAAGCCATGAATTATCTGTAACCACCCTGCCTTTCCTATCTATTTCTGTGTCTCTCTGTCTCGCAATCTATCGGTAGAGTTAAAGCGCAAGACGATTACACAAGATCAGACAAAAGAGACCCTACCAACTATCTTGATTCAGTTAACCAAGGTCAGAGTCAGCTCAGTACTAAAAGAAATGATTATCACTGCGCAATGCGACGAAAGATATGACTAGTTAGCAAGACATTTTTGAATGTGTTGACATCATGCGTTGCAGACACCACATGATATAGAGTGCTTTATTGAAAGCTGGCAAAAGTTGTTTCTGTGCCCTTTGCTGTGCCTTTGATAACATAATATATATAATTTGCAGAACGTGAAAAAAATATGACAGTTATGGACATTCGATGGGAAACTTGTAGTGTTATTTTCAATGTCGTGCTCTACAATGACATGGCAACAGCCAAAGACAGTTCGAAAGTTCGCGAGGCTGCATTGGTGCTTCCGTCTTCTGCATTAGCTACCATTTTAAATTACCTCTGTCCGCTTTGAGGTGATTTCGTAAAACTTTCGCTACGCCTTCGGTTCAACATTGCACTTGCGTTAACCGCCATACTCGCCTCCACGCAAGGTTGTTGGCGTAACTGCCGCAACTGTAACGTTTTGTTTACTATTATATATACTTCTGTGCGTTGCACGGTTACCCCAACACTAGACAACCCTTCTGTTTTTGAACCTGTCAGGTCCTCTCTTGTTTACGCGGGCAGCTAACGTTCTCGTGGTGTAGTAACCTGTTCAACAGAACAAAATGGCAAGAGGGCTTCCCTGCATACTGATACTTTATGCGAGAAAGCTAGCTTTGACTAAAGATGCTTTTTTTTTTTTTGCATTTTGCACTTGCATAGACGCATGCAAACACAGCGTGTTGTGCTCGTTGCGTTTAGACATCGCATAAAGGGCCCTACTGTGGGTTTGGTCAGAATCGAGTGGTTTCAAAATTTACTGTTCAGATTTGGAATGATGGAGGTTTAACAGAAAGATTACCGATAGCCTAGGAAAGTGTGGTGCTTAATGTATTGCATACAAATATTTACATAAACGAATTTATTCTTAGAATAGAGCAATAATATGATTTTATACGTATATAATTATGTGGACCTGTTGGAGTGAATGGAACTGGTTAATTAGTCAACCTACTAGTTTCATCAATACAGTCCCGGCTGGCCGCGCATACTGTCGCATTAGAGAAACCGGAAATGGAAGCTCCAAAAGACAAAATGACAGGCAGAGATAAGTCCATACCAATACTACGTAAAGGTATTTCTAATAGGGTTTTTCGTAATGTGTTGAACCGCCTGCAGGTCAAAAAGAAATGGTCTATTGTTTCCAGTTCATCACAGAATGCACACAGTGGCGAAGGTGCCTGAGCAGACCTGTGTTTATAGAAATTCAGATTTGGTACCCGGCAACGCAGCCTTGTGATAGCTACTTCTTGTTTTCGAGTGCGGCAAAAATCTCTTCGCCAAGGATATAATAAATGGCGATATTCTGTAGAGTTTGTTAGTGCTGAACCTTTAAAGACTTGCATAAGCGTACGTCTGCGGAATCGATTAGCAGTCACATAAGCGAATGATGGACAGAGCGGTATAATTGGTTCGCTGATCGACGACTTAGCTAAGGAATCGGCTATTTCATTTAGAAACAAACCTTTATTCCAGGCACCCAAACTAAGCGTTCTCAAATGCGCAGGCACTAGTACACGGAACGCCTTTGTTACGTGATTATCAGCACCAACAGAAAGTGCCGCACAGAGAGATAGGGAATCTGTTATCATGACAGCTGATGTAATTGCTGTATCTAACTTGCGTAAGGCGAGCACCACTGCCAGAAACTCGGCCACAAAAACGGGTATGAAATCGGGTAGTCGAAGGGAATAAATCCAACTTAAAATCGGGCTGAAAATACCAATCTCTGACTTTTCGTCGTATTGCGATGCGTCTGTAGCAATAATAACGTTCGTTGTAATACGGCGCAGGTGATCTTGTAGTAAACCATCCAAAATATTATGAAGAAGTAATTTGGCATTATTAGAAAAAATGTCGTCGAATTGAATTTCCACCGGGGCTAAATTATCACGACTCGGCATGATGTCGCATATACGTACGTTTAGAGGCTCCAGTAAATTTTGCACAAATATAATTTGTGGCGTGTGAAATCGTGGCCATCTAGCAGCAAAAAAATGATTCCGGGGTGGAAATAAAGGCTGTTTCTGAATGTCGTAATGGTGATTCATAAATTCTTAAGAGTTTCGACGTCTGAACAGTCAGAAGGCGAATTCTACAAGAAAGCGGAGGGACCACGGAGTGGGAGGGACCCTCGATTCGAGATACAACACATTGTTGGCAACTGTTTTGGGAAGGCCAAGGCATAAGCGCAAAACTTCTTTTTCCTGAAGAATGAAAGGCCGCAACTTGTAAGCTGGAACTCCAGAGAAAAGTACACAACCAAATTCCGAAATGGGACAAACGTACATGCGATATATCATTACCAATGTGTCTCTTCTCATACCTATGCGGTAGTTGCTTAGCCTACGTAATATGCCAATGGCCCGCACACCTTTTCCGGCGATATATTCGATATGAGGTCGCCAGTTAAGCGATGTGTGATAAATTACTCCAAGGTATTTAACAGATTCCACCTGTGGTATATCCTCATGATGGTAAGACATAGAGATGTTCACAGGGTATTGCAGCGGGAAAACAAAGAGGGCACATTTACTCGGATTAAGTAAAAAGCTGTTGCCTCGAGCCAGCTTTCCAATATATTAAGGTAAGTCTGCAGCCGTTCATATAAGGTCTGAATGTTATCCTCCATTGCATCTTGTGCTTTTTCTCTCTCTTGTGCTTTTTAAGGACCACTGGATTTCATGAGCGTTTGTGAAAGAACACCACGAGACCATGCTGTGTAGTCTCGAGCTGACTATTTATCCATCACTTTCTTACTCTTATTCTTCTCTCTTTCTCTTTGCTTTCTATTATTCCCCCTTTCCCCCACCCCAAGTGTAGGGCAGCCAGCCGAGCCAAGCTTGGTTAACCACCCTGCCTTTCCTCTCTATTTCCGTGTCTCCTTCTTTCTCTCGCAATCTATCGGTGGAGTCAAAGCGCAAGACGATTACACAAAATCAGACAGAACAGACCCTACCGACTATCTTCATTCAGTTAACCAAGGTCAGAGTCGGCCCAGTACTAGAAGAAATGATCATCACTGCGTAATGCGACAACAGATATGACTAGTTAGGAAGACATTCGTGAATGTGTTGACATTACGCGTTGCAGACACCGCATGATATAGAGCACTTTATTGAAAGCTGGCAAAAATTCTGTTTGTGCCCTTTGCTGTAACTTTGATAACATAATCCATATA